GGTGTGTGTGTGTGTGTGTGTGTGTGTGTGTATACACACACACACCTCTACCCCGATATAACGCTGTCCTCGGGAGCCAAAAAATCTTACTGCGTTATAGGTGAAACCGCGTTATATTGAACTTGCTTTGATCCGCCAGAGCACGCAGTCTCGTCCCCCCGGAGCGCTGCTTTACCGTGTTATATCTGAATTTGTGTTATATTGGGCCACGTTATATCGGGGTTGAGGTGTAGATAGAGAGAGAGAGAACACACACGTACCACCTGCTTGATGTGGGCTCTCTCTAGAGTATCGCTATCTCGAAATGACCTTGTTTTTCATAATTCAAAAAATATTGCTCAGATGTACTGTGCTTAGGTAACTTAAATGGACTATTTTTAATGTTCAGACTTAGCACATATATAATCTTTAATGAGATGTTATGTAAAAGTGAATGAGAATTGCATACTGAACAATACATTGTCCTTTAGTTTAAATTGTACAAAAATATTGAGTTTAAATTACACTTGGACGCATATTCAAATGAATACACGTGATCCAGTTTGCATCTTAATTTTATAGAAAATGTTGAAATGGGAAAGCAATGTTAATACAAAACTAATATTACAGACCTGGACTAAAAACTTCTGCCAACATAGCTATGTTGCTCAGGGCTGGGATCTTGGGATCCACACAGTAGGTGTGTGGCAAGTCTCCAAAAAGGGCCGTATTTTTGGAGCTGACTGTATCCGACTTGCACACACCCCCACATCATATATAATCTGAAAGCTTATTTTATGTATGTTTAGAAGAGGTATGATGTGGCACTGTCAAGTGGTTCTGTAAAGCTGTGGGTGAGGTGAAACAGTGGTACCCAAAATGAGTGTTATTTTTTGCACAGTTCCAGAAACACTGCAACGTGACTGCAACTACAGTTTTTACTGTTTAAATTAATTTCAACACCTTAAAGTGGTGGTTATTGGTCAAAGCTACCAAACGACAATGTATTAAGAGTTTTTTGCATGTGCATGTTTTTTCCCAGAAATGAAGCTGTTTAGCATGTGACAAAAATGGTGAATATCACATTTTGCAATATTCTAACATGAAATGTTTTCACATCACATATTCTCCTGGGCACGTCCCACTGGCCAGAGGCCCTTAGGCCGATCCAGGACATGCTGGAGGGATTATATCTCCTGGCTGGCCTGGGAACACTGGGGAATCCCCCAGGAGGAGCTTGAACATGTTGCGGAGGAAAAGGAAGTCTGGTCCTCCTACTCTCCATGCTACCGCCGCGACCCTCACTAGGAAAAGAGGCATAAAGGAAAAAGAAGAAGCTATTCTTAATTATCAAAGTATTTCACAAGCGATTATAATAGTTTTCTGTATTTGCAATTGAAATTTGCTGAGCCGATCAGTCTCCCTGAAGGTTGTGCACCAGTAGCAGTAGATTGCAGGCCCATAGTTTACACTGCATAGTGGGTAGATATAAATGTACATGAATTCCTAATATGCTTCTCCATTTGTAAGTTTTTGTACTTACAATGCAGCATGTAGTTTGCCTGATAGAAGGTTTTAATTTGTAAATTGCCTATGCATGCAGTATTAGCTTTTGAAATGTTCTAGAAACTGGCTTTTTAATTCAGTGACACTTACGCACACGTCAGCATTAGTGTTAGAGATGAGAATACACAGCTTCATATTATGAATATGGAAAAGCTATGAGAGAAAGAAGTAGCCTAACAAGAAGTAGTGAAGATTAAGTCCGCAAACAAGTCCTTGCTTATGCACTGAAACGGGATGAAGAGCACGTTACAGCTCTTACCAACCATGTCATCAACTGTATGACAAACCCATTTGATCCTGAATCGCATGCAGAGGTGCTTATCAACATATCTGTTGGACTACATGTAATGTCAGGTGTATAGAAGTCTCTGCTGAAAATAGCAGATGTTTATGAAGAACAAATGAAGAAATTTGTGAGAGGTGCACTTGATGTTTCAATGTCAACTGTTCTTAGTCACCCAATAAGACTTGTGCTGTCTGTGTCCCTCTTCCATGCTGATGGAACAATGAGAAGAACAGACAAAACTGAACAAGGGCATCAGCTGGAATCTCAATCTGAAAGAATCCATGAGCTAAGAGCATGCAACAAAGAACCTCCAGTGTATATATGGGATGCCATGGCTATCATACAAATGATGGCTGGAGACAAATTCCACACATTCGATGAATTAGCTGCTGCGTATTTGAGGCAGGTCCCAAAGATTTGAAAAGCTAATTCTTTAATCAAAGTTTTTGACAGATATGACAATAGTAACTCTGAAAACTGCAGAAAGAGAGTACAGGACAGGATTTAAGGTTGGATATGGGCAGGGCTGTCCCTAGGGGTTGCGGGACCCAGGGCAGAAGTGACAGATTCATCTTTTCTGGGGCCTACCATGCAGGCCAATCGCACCAGCCCATGGGGTCCCCCAAAGCGTGGGGCCCGGAGCGGTTGCCCTGATTTGCCCTACCCAAGGGATGACTCTGGATATGGGAAATATCAGGTGATTGGTGGAGGCCCTGTGCTTCTGTGGAAAAAGTTTCTAAACATGGCATCCAATAAGCAATCACTTGTAAAATTCCTCTGTGAATATATGGTTCAAAATGCAACATAAGCAGTGCTTCTTGCTTTAAGGCTTTTCAAATGGTGAAGGAGCAAAGTGCATCATCAGTAGAAGTGTTAAGTCCAAGACTTGTGCAGTACTCAAGAGGAAGTGGACGTAAGGATGCTTCTGGATGCTGTATGTGCCAGTATGGCTTTTGGGTCTCTTGTCAAATGGAACCGTAGTAATTAGGTCACCTGATACAGATGTTTTTGGTCTTGGCTGTTCACTACTTTCCAAAAATGGAACACACATAACGTGGATTGAAACAGGCACCATTATCAGCACATCTGAAAAGTATCGCTTCCGAAATACACAAGGGAGTTGAGGATGATTATTTTAAAAACAAACCTCTGCACCTCCCCAAAAGAGAGTCAATACTTTACGCTTCATCTTCTCCATATCTTCCTAGGTATTTTTCTGCCCCAGAAGCTTATAATCTTCCTATAAATGTTGACATCATCTAGCACCTTGTAGATACTATAGTTGTGCAGATGTGTTTTGTTTTTTTCCAGTGGTTTCTTTGTAATGTGTTAATGCTGCAAACATTAATTTCTGCATCTTCAAGTATTTTTTGTCTTTTAAATAGTGATGTACATGGAGCTCCAAGTTCCAAAGGGCCAGCAAACATTCCATTACAAGACCAGCACTTGGCACTTGCTATATTGTTAGAGTTGGCAGTGCAGAGGGGCACACTAAGGTGAGAAATGAAGCACTTTTCTGCTCTCAAATAAGAGTACCTATTAAAATGTTCTGAGCAATTCTGGGCGTTTAGTTTGTATTAGTTCAATGTTAACATTTTGATGCAACACCTATGGGTCCTCTCCGTAATGATTAGAGGTGAAATCCTAACCCTAATGAAGTCAATGGCAAACTCCCATTGATGTCAGTGGGGCCAGGATTTAACTGTAATTTCCTATCATGAAGGGTAACGATGAAGGATGAAATATAGATAGAAAATTAGGGAATACTAAGAGCTCATGCTTCAGGGTCTAAGCCAATTTAACTGATGGGGATTAGAAAGAAACATATTTTAGTGAGCAGTCTATTACATAATTTTCTGCTAGAAGACTTCTTTCATATTTCGGTGAATCATCAAGATCTGTCTGTGGTCAATGATGGATCACTGTTCTGAGCCAGAATAGCAATTCCTGTGTAGCTAAAACTTTGCAAGAAAGGAGGTGAAGGCACATTAAAACTATCTTGAAATACTTTTTTGTGGACATTTGGTCCAGATCTTCATCTGGTATAAGTGGTATAGTTCCATTGAAGTCAATGGAGCTGTGCTGATTTATACCAGCGAAGGATACTTTTAGTCTGTTCTTACAAAGTTTATCTATAACCACAACTTTTAAACAGATTGCTCAGTTTTCTAAATAACTACTGAATAATCAAAGGTAAAACTTGCACACATACCAAAACTAAAAAAAAACACCCCAAAATTTCAAAAACTATACTTCACTTTGACACTTTTTGGGGGCGGGGGAAAACCCCTAAACTAAGCAAAACTTTTAAGTGAGCTAGCTTTGAGTAGATTCTGCCCAATACCCTCACACACATACTACTAAACATGCACATCTTCTAAAATTTGATTTAATGTGGAACTTCAAATAACTTCTGTAGGAGTGCTTACAACAGGATGGTAAACTTACTCTTTCAGCCAAATGTTGTCTGCTGTTATGTTGCTGCTTCAACTCTGGGATAATGGAACAAGAGAGACAGATAATGAGCGATCTGCACAAGGAACAAGTGCACCCCTTCTACCTTTGCTGCAAAGGTTTCAGAGCATAATCTGTAATAAAGACATACCTAACGCCGAGGATGAGATTCAGGTATATGTGTTTGGTTTATTTATGAGGTATATTCTATCCAGTATCCAATTATTTGTGTCATGTTGCTTAGCCATCAAGTATAGATGCTCATTGTTGCTCTTCTGAAGTTTGTAACTCCACTTTTATAGTAGTAATTTACACATCGAGATACATATACAACTGTTGTACTACAGTATGTACATTTTGCATTTTCTCGGGATGGCAGATTAAAAGTTTGCAGTATGTTTATATAAATATTGCATTTTAGATTTTGTTGTAGAAATAGTTTTTATGTGTTACTACAAATCTGTGTGGATTAATTTTCTTGAACATTTAACTTTTCCCATTAATTTGATTGAAACATCATTACATTCTTAAATTTTATTGGGCAGTACAGAATAGCACAATTGATACAAAGGTAGCATCAATTTCTCAGTGTATATGTATAATTGAAATTATTGCTTGCATGAGGAAGGAATAGTATATACAGATGCTGAGTCCCTTATTAACTTCAATAGGAATTACAGATGCTGAGTATCCACCAAATATGCCATATCTGTATCTAGAGAAATAAGGGAAAAGAACGTATGGGGCGTGTAAAAAGTACTCTGAATATTTTCCTGTTTTTAACTTTATTTTATTTTTAACTGCTTTTCTTTGTTTTCTTAGATGCTGTCCTACTCCCTGAGTCCCAATGAGAGTTTTCTGAGGTACCTGACTTTACCACAGGACAATGAGCTAGCAATTGATCTGCGACAAACGGCAGTTGTGATCATGGCCCACTTAGATCGCCTGGCCACTCCATGCATGCCTCCACAGTGTAGCTCTCCTACATCTCATAAGGTAATCTCATATAATGTCAAATAAAAGGATTCTGTTTGTAGATGGACAATTAGTTTACTCTTTAAACTGTCAAGAAAGACCATTCAATGATTTTTAATAAATCATCAGTTCTCTTACAAAGAGAAGTGTAACTATTGGTTTTAAAATATTTTCATATAGAGTGTCTAAAGTGAGTTTCCATAAGGAAACTGATTATAGTAATCTGAGTATTTAACCTCCCTGCCTTTTTTCCTCATGTTTGGCCATAGCCAAACGAGGTATCTGACCAGGGAGGTATGGTATAATTTAAGACTGAAATCCCTGTACAGTTAGAAATTTTTTCAGAATTTCCGTAATTCAGTTTAAAAGAATCCAAAGTTATATAAGCAGTTCAGGAGTAATATCTGAATGCTTTCCTGTAGTGGATATAAACATGTGCGGACTGTACCAAAGAGTTTAACACTTTCAGTGGAATGAGGAGAATCTCCTTACACTCTTTCTTTATTTTTGTTTTCCAAGCTACTTTTTGAGCCCTGAGATCTTAGTCTTCTGTTTCCCTTCTTCTTATCCCCTCCTCCCAGTACCACCGGGGTTATCTGAATGTGGCTTATTCTGGAGCCCATTGTTACTGCTCTTCGCATCTGCCAAAGATTTCTACAGAATGACAAGCAAGTCATTCCCCAAAACCTATGGGTGATCATGCCCCATAAATGTACTATTCCCAGTGCCCATCAAAATAGATGGTTTAAGACCAAATTTCTTAAATGTTTAAGTCAGAGTGCTCTGGTATAGTAGCAATTTAAAGAACCCCCCAAAATTGTATATAACTTCACTGGTTGAAAGATCTTCTTCTTTACATACTTGCTATAAATATTTATGGTATATTCTGTAAGCCATGTCACACATGGTGTATTAGACACACAAGGTGGGTGAGGTAATATCTTTTATTGGACCAACTTCTGTTGGTGAGAGAGGCAAGCTTTTGAGCTCCACAGAACTGCTCTTCAGGTCTGGGAAAGGTTCTCGGAGCGTCACAGCTAAATACAAGATCGAACAGATTGTGCTAACTGCTTATGCTAAACTATTTGTTCGACCTTGTATTTAGCTGTGACACTCTGAGTACCTTTCCCAGATCTGAAGAGAAGTTCTGGGTGGCTTGACAGCTTGTCTCTTCCACTACCAGAAGTTGGTCCAATAAAAGATACCATAGGTGAGTGAGGTAGTATCTTTTAATTAGATTGTGATGCGTGTGAGACTATTTTTAATATCTTATTAATAGGTAAGGTTCATTGATGTCTTTCTTTTACAGCTACCATGAATATTGATAGATTGAAGTATTGTTGAAGCACATAATTATTAGGAAAAAATATCCTGGTGCTTGTGTTTTAATTAAGTTGTGTAGTGAACTGTAAATTCTTACTTAGCTTTGTTGCCTTACAGGGATCTTTGCAAGAAGTCATAGGTTGGGGTTTAATAGGATGGAAATATTATGCTAATGTGAGTGGTCCAATTCAGTGTGAAGGACTTGCCAATCTTGGAGTTATGCAAATTGCCTGTGCAGAGAAACGTTTTTTAATCTTATCTAGAAATGGACGAGTTTACACGCAGGCATACAACAGTGACACACTGGTAGGTGATTTTTACATCCATACTAAATGTACCATTTTCTATAAAATATGCTGCTCTGAGATTGTTCTTTCTAATCATTCAGATGTGTAGTGGAGATACTGTGATGCTGCTCATGTTAAATTCCTTGTTTTTGAACCCTCAGCAGGAATGGTTTAACACCTTTGTTTGCCATGTTAAGAATTTTTCCTACGTTATAAATATTTGTTATGGTGCTCGCAACAATCCACCCGTATGAACAATGCTCTCTTTCTTCTCCAGTGGTATTGCTTTGCCGTTTATTTCCATGTAACGTGGCAATTGCTTAGCATGAAGTGCATTTAAACTAATGGATGTTTTGACTACCAGTGCCTAAGCATTAAATTCCCTTTACAAAATTATACTAAAACAGAAAAATATGCAGCGAAGACTATCGGAAATGATCAGACAAAGGCCAGTTTAATATATATTACCTGCATTATAAGGATGGGACAAAATGAGAGCTCCAGAGCATCCTCTACCTTTCACCAAACCCAAATATTGGATTTGAACTTCTGGCCTGGTTCTCTGGTTTTATTAAATTAATGCTGGAATGTATAGTTCTGAAGTAAGGCCTCATTGGGGAAAAATCTAATTATCAAGTTGTCTGAGTTTTTTCGACACTTTGAGCAACATAAGTAACTTTTTTCTTTGTACATTGTCTCTAACTAATTTACAGGGACCACAGCTGGTGCAGAGTCTTGCTTCTAGAAATATTGTGAAGATTGCAGCACATTCAGATGGTCACCACTATCTTGCCTTGGCAGCAACTGGAGAGGTTTTCTCTTGGGGTTGTGGAGATGGTGGAAGACTAGGCCATGGAGACACAGTGTATGTGTAATAAAATACCATTGATTCACCAGCTTAAGCATAGAACGTATTTACAAATGTTCTACTTTAATGTTAGAAACTAAGGTAGGATTAAATATGCAGACATTTAATAAATGTTAGTGAAACACAGCCACTTACAGCGAAATGACAACAGGCAAAAGATAACATAGTATGCTATCGTTGTTCAAGTCCTCCAGTACATGTATATCATTCAAAGGTTGATAAGAAATTAAGCAAAGCAAGATGGTTTACAAACATACATTCCTTTAGATTTTGTCTTAATTATGTTGTCATGATTAGACCAGCAAATAAACTACAGTTGTTAATGACAATGGAAAGGGCTAGCTTTCCTCAGTTTTCTTTTCTTTTCTTTTATTTTTTTTAAGGATTTTAGACAACAATGAACATGTATGAAGGGAATGCCTGCTTAGCTTAGAAAATTCTGTTGCATGGTGAGATGATCCAGGAGGTCTTTTAAGGATATTTGTCTTAATTGAATACTGATTTGTGGCTATAGAAAATGATAAAAAAATGTATCTATTCTGTTAACCAGTGGTAACATAAAGATCTTCAAGAAATCCAGCTCCACTTATGAAATCTGAAGCTGAGTAATCCAAAATGTCTTTTACAACAATCCAGCTTCAGAACAAGACATTCATGTATTATCAACTGTAAAATTACATCCTTTCTGAATATTTTCTTTTCTCTCCTTTTTAATTCAAAATTCTGAGTTCTTCGTGTGCTTGCATATGTCCATTCCACTGTATGTGAGTATGCACCTTGTGCACCGTGGTCTTTTTCTCTTAGCGGTATCCATTGGGCTGGCCCAAGCACTCTCTGTTGCTACATACCACAAAAGGGCGAAGCTGCGCCAATTCTCCTCAGTTCCACCAGTAATGGTTGTCGGAGTGATCTCAGACTTTTTGTCATAAGTGCGGCGGCCCTCACGCCTCTGTGTGTGTGTGTGTGTGTGTGTGTGTGTGTATGTATGTATATATATATATAGTGTGTGTGTATATATGTGTGTGTATATATATATATGCTGGTTTGTTAGTTTTAGCGATAAATTTTAGATTTAGGTCTTTTGGGACCAGTTTTTCATCTTTTGGTATTGGTACTGGAACGATGCTGTGCTCATCAGGTTTTAAGTCCTTCTGGACTTGTGCTGAATGTATGCTGGGCAGTGACCCACACCTGGTTTATTTGAAATGTTTGGGAAAATTCCACATAACTGACAAATATTGCATTTGTAAGCCCCACTCAAAGAGGCTTTCTTGGCCCAAGTACCTATCATAGATGTTTGCAAAACAGTGACTTGGTTATCAGTCCATACTTTTGTTCTCCTTATGCCATTTCCTGTCAATCCATGCAAATTTCTGACAGGTTGTCCTAGAAACACTGGTCAGGTATTTTCCCAGCTCACCTCCACATTGGTCTGCTTGTGAGTCATCTACAGTGAAATGGACATGTGCAAGCTCTTGAAGAAGAAAAAATGGTTACCTACCTTTCTGTAAGTGGTGTTCTTTGAGATGTGTTGGATATGTCCATTCCATGACTCATCCTCCTTCCCTTCTCTGTTGGAGTCTATCTGGAGTCAACTATGCATGAGGTGCATGCACACCTACAGTGGAATGGATGTTTTGCAACAAATCTCTAACAATAGTTGCAGAAAGGTAGGTAATCATTTTTTATATTTTTGATAATTTCTGTGCCTATTTCTGGAATATTTATAGTTTCAGAAGGGCACCCATCCTCCCATTTTTCTCAGGCCTCATATGCCTGATGCCAGGAGTCCCTCTGCCCTTCTTATTTACTTGCCAAATCAATTTCAGAATGGTTCAGTGCAAGTGCAAACTGTTGTGTGTTCCCCATTCCTTTTTTCCCCGTGTTAAACAGTAACATTGCAATGCTGTCTTGGCCCAGAAAGTAGGAGTGAGTGTCTTGTTCTGTAGTTGAACTAGTGTTTTCCAAGCAGTATCCTATAGAGGTGTACTTAAATACTTCTGTGTTGAATTTGTATCCCAGAGGTGATAAGCACCACTGTAGTGACAAATCCTTACTGGATAAGGGAGTACTCCTGTCTTGGGGTTGAGAGTAGCAGGGAAGGTGTTGTTCAGATACAGGTTTTTTTTTCACAGTGAAGTATAGTGTTTGTGAAAACCACTGGACTGACTTATTTGGAGGTAAAAATACTAGTGATCAGACTTTAGTATGTCACAGGCAGTGGTAGTGTAAACTTCTCCACAGTGCTTTGCATATTGTGTTCCTTATTGATCAACATCAACCTTAATTTGCTTTACAGGTCCATTTATAACTTGCTGCCTATGGCAGTCACTAAGGTTTGTAGTTGTGATCGTGATGATCAGTTTATTTTCTAGCAGACAGGTTACTACAGATCTTTTCACATAATTACTGACTCTTGTCTTCCCTCAAAATAGACCCTTGGAGGAACCAAAGATGATATCTGCTTTATCTGGAAAGCAGGCTGGGAAA